ATACACATTTCGGGGTCGGGCTTCGTAAAACCATCAGCACAGCTTTTGGTTGTCGTCAAACACATCATTGGAAATAGAACTAAAGTTTCGTGAACACCAGAATTGGTCATCAATTTTGCATGCTCTCCTTCAGCTGTAAACGCACATTTATGTGATCATGTGAAACGAAGAAGCATAAGAGTTGAAATGAGTCATTCGAACAAAGTGGTGGGCAAAGTAGTTGAGTTATTTGTGTTTGGTTAGGGGTTGAGACGACAAAATTTGATATGGGGTGAACTGGTCCGAACGATGTGGTGAATGTGGTTTAGGAAGGGGGACGGAAGGTCATGTCGCGTCATGCTATGGGGTGGAATCAAGTGTGTTATCATCACTACCACCGCAAAAACAGTTGCATCACAAATGTTTTTTGAACACTTGTGGTTTCAAGCGATGAATAAATATCACTTCTAAGAATCGCGAAATCCGTGAACTTTGAGGCCTCGCAATGACTCGAGACGCTTTGGGTGCGTCTACATGGTGTCCGGAATCTAACAAATGACGGGCAATCGTACCAGATGGTAATTTCCCTCCGCGTGAAGTGGATAAAGGCAAAAGGATGTTTCACAAACCTGAAGTCTTTTATGAAGTTTTCAATCATGTTCAGTCATTTACCGTGAGTAACTTGCAGTATCTGGCTACATCATTGGCAAACCAGGCCAATTAGACATTGAAATGTACCTATTGTATCGATCCTCGCCTGTTGAAGCACCCAGTTGAGGATAAACTACCCAGCAGTTATCCCCCCCCCCCGGAATATCGTCCCAATAGTCATTCCAGTCCGTTTGGAATAATTTATTTTGGCCAAAATAGGTTCCGCTTTTGCAAGATACAGCCTGCTATTGTGCACGCAGAAAACACGCGCTTTCATTAAAGGCCCGACAGGCGCGGGGTTTCTGTTGTTCGACATCCACACCATCTTTCATGTTCACGAAGGGAAATGCTTTCCGGTAGGCGATCATAATATGGGAGTCGGAGATAGCACATCAGGATATTTTGGTATTCCCAGGGGACTGGGAAGGATATTGATCTATCATTTCAAAGTAGGGTTTTATAGAATTCATCGTGTTGTATCACTTATTCAGTTTTGTTATCTACCTGGCTCCGAAACCGAAACCGATTTTGCAACTCACTTGTCCATCACCTTATTTTAATGAAGCACTTCACATTTTAGGTCTATTTATCTGGCGTGAATACATAAATTTGTTTATAACTGAGTGAGAGCACATGAAAGTAATGGACAAAAGTAGTTCTACTCTCATATGTCCTCTTGTGTAAAGGATGTTTCACTTATACCTTATACGTAGCTGACTAGTCATCCATGATTTTTTCCACAGAAATCCGCGTTAAGTTCATTGTGCACCTTTTCACATTTTCCATTAGGATGTCAGAACAGGATGTGTCAGATTGAGTCAGTTGGATTACCTATGCAACGCTCATGGGTATTGTGTAAAATTATGCCTTATTTCCACGACCATGGAGGCACAGTCTGTACCAACAGCTGTTGTTAAAGACTTGTAAGATTCTTCGATGAAAGTTGTTTCACCGTGGTAATCAGTTTGTATACGTTTGTATCACGTGTTATCGGGATTTAGTCTTACACGAGTCCTAAGGCAACAGAAGTGAATGCTACAGACCGGCAGTGCTACATGCTGCAAAAATAACATAATCCTGCACTTTTACTGATTTTAGCTGCTTACAATATAACATCAGAAACACATCCCAATCTCTTCAGTGTCAGCTTTACCTTACAGGATCTTGTTTATATGTTCCTACAGAAGGCTTCAGTCGGAAATAAATTTATGGAGCTGGATTTCTCAGTACATCCGTTATTCCTCTTGCATATATCTGACGTATAGATTTCTCAACTTCACAGATAATGCTGCTTCTGTTTTGTGATAATAAATTATAGGACGACATACGGTTGCAAGCAACTGCGAGAGTTGATGTTCAGGAAATCATTTTGGGTAACCACTGATAATTTTGTAATAATAGCCTTTGAATTGAGATTTCGATTGATCTCCGTGTGTCTATTCAGGGCAAAATGCGGTTTTATCCAATATGCCGAAGGTATGGTTGTCAATCAACTTAATTTGTGGTAGCACTTCGGGAAAATAAATGGCAGAAAATACAAAGCTTTGCGTGCATCGAACTCCTCTTTGTCAAGTTTTTTGTATCTGATCTAAAGAAGTCCCGGTTCTGTTTGCATTCAATATACCAACTCCAAGGAGAAGGATTCGATCAAAAAAAAAAGTTTCTGGAGTATCGTTTCAGTTTTTAATGTCGATTCGTTGAGTGGTACAAAAATGAAGAATATAATCAAACTGGTTGATAATTTATACTCTTATGGGGTGGTGAAACATGTAGGCATACGAATATAATCACAGACAATAGACATTTTAGAATTTGGGCAAGCACTGTATCTGTGTGTGTGCAAGAATATGATGATGCAGTAAAAGGGACAGTAAGATTTAGGATCAGAAAAAAGTTTGCACACTGAAATAAATATCTAACCACAATCGATTTCTTGCTAAATCGATAAATAACAAGATGCACTCTGGAATGATTTTCAGCAGGTCACTGGACCAACATGAGAAGTTGCAGAGATGCAAGAAAATATTTCTTCCATTGCGGATGATTTTCAAACCCTCATCGTCTTTTCTCCTTAGTTGGTTAGTTGTGCAAGTGCAGAAACGAAAGTGGCCCGTCGTCTGGCGTCGTTGGATGTTCATCCATCACCCGGTGAATCCAGTCCACGAAGTAAGACACTCTAGTGAAAATGGCTGGAAAATCTGCTGGTCGTTTTGAATGTGTGGCGGAAACGATTCCAGCTAGTTTCACCTCGCCATCATCCGATTTGCATACAAGTGGACCACCGCTGTCGCCCTATGCCGAGAAGAAAAACGAACAAATGGTTATAAACATACTTCAAGCTGTTTACAAACTGGCTACTTACTATTTTGAGAGTAGTTACAACGAAGAATGAATGCTATGCAAATGTGACATCAAATTAGCCTATTGACTTATGAAAATGACCCGTTTTTGCAATTTAGCGTCGGTATTTAAACGGTGAACTTGGCAACTGCTGGATAAACACGCACCAAGTGGTGTCACACAAGGATGACCAATCACAATGTCTGTTCCTATATTTCAATTAGCATTCTACTATTGATTCCGAAGTCGGACTCCTTAGACCGAAGTGTGCTAAGTATTTTGCATTAGATTTTGCGTTTCAATCATATATCCACGGAAGAATAGATGGAATTTGGTACGAAGCGTCACTGTGTCTTTTTTCTTCGAGGATGCACCCCTAGGCTTTATCCAACCAAGTGTGAAACGCAAGACAGCAGTAAAATGTCTCGTGAAAACGCTTTTAGCGTCTAGGTTCAAAATAACCTGACTGAATTCACCTGTCTAACAGTTAATCAGGGTCTGATCGCTGTCTACTCTGGAGTAGCTTCCCATGAAAGCTCACATTCAAATGAGGAATAAAACTGAACAGATACCCCAAAGATACGTAACGGTCATCCAATTAAAGGTGACACTTCTCTCCCC